GAGAGCTTTAAATGACAGCAAAACATGAGAACATTAGTTTCTGCGCCCTGTATATAACATCACTAGGCTGTTTTGGTGCCCCCGTATGTGATATACATGTATGTAGCCGTGGTGCTGGTCAGCCAGCATGGCCGGCAAAAGTCTCAAATGCATGCTCTCAACCGGCCCGGATCCGAAGCGTGAGGAACTAAAAACTTTTCTGAAAACAATTGCAGGTGTGTACGCTGGTTGTTGAAAAACTGACGCTAAACTGAATTGCTAGCTCTAACTTGTATGAAAAAACAGTATGAATAAAGGCTAAGTTCCATTAGTTATTGACTGTCTGCACTTTTAAGGGATGGGCTGTGCTGCAGGAAGCTGCACAAACAGACACTTAAGAGGGCTAATTCTAATAAGTGTTAATTAGTGTCAGCACACTCATATTAGGTAATCTCTATGGTAGATTTCTGAAATGTAGCACTGTTTGTGACAGTTGACTGACAGTAGTCCTTGCAGACATCTTTTATCCTGTTCCATTGTACCAGTCAGTGTTTATTTTAAGCTAACACTTGTTAACTAATTAATTCCACTGGGTTTGAACAACTAACGTTCATTAGCTGCCAAAAAGATTCCTGAGTGCCTGACTGTACAACTCCTGTAAGTCACAGTGAATTCAGTTAAGAGGATCTATTGGGAGAAATAGAACATAATATTAATTTGAAGTTTTCATTATGTGTATAATCACCTGGTTGAATATAGGAATTGTTGTGTTACCAAAAAACACACTTTCAAGTCTGCCATGTTGAACAATCATGTTTCTACAGTAGCCCAGAACAGACAAAACACACACTGGCTGCAGATAGCGCCTTTCACAAGTTTCATGGCCACCTTAGTTTCTCCTACAAACTTCACAGCCTGTTCTCATTCCCAGACTGTCAGATACAGACGTGAGCAGTGTTCAGGTAGATGCAGTCTGCAACTTGACTGCTAGATGCCACTAAATCCTACAGACTGGTCCTTTAAAAACAAACTGAATGAATTGTCATTTATTTAATTATAACACAGTAAATGCGTACATAACATTCCAATACATATCACAATGTCAGTAGTGTGATATGTTTTTATTTAGGCAGTTTAAATCTTCCATGAGTTTGGGCCCTAACAGAATAAAGCTCTCGAATGTGTTGTTTATCTTTGATGCTGCCACCAGGGGGCAACATGGTGAGTTTACTTCACAAACACTGACTGCAGTCTGTGTGTCTGTTTTATATGGTCTGTTTACAGTGTTTATTTCTGATTCCGATAAGCCTTTTGATGCTGGATTTAGCCTACTGCTAGGCATGGTGGACTTTAATCTGTCTGGAGGAGACCACAGAAATGTCTATAACATATCCACTTCAACATATAATAAAAACATAAGATAGCCATTTTTGACAGTAGTCACAACAGTCACACTAAACAAATACAAAACCCGTTTTAAGGAAACACTATTTATAACTGCAAAACCAACACCTTATTCATGGATACTGTAAAATACAAAGGCAAGATAATTCACAGAGGTATGCAATGGGAATATTTCAGTGAACCAAGTGATTATATTTTGAGCCTCAAGAATTAGTGGCTCATGATGTGAAATTTAAAGCTGTTATTTAAGTATATATATATATATTAATGCCCTAAATATTTTATGCTCTTGAGCTCCACATACAAAAAAAATTGACAATAATGTTCTAATGTTCTGCTTTAATTAATAGCAATACTATCACCTTCTCCTGCCCCTAGTCAGCGTGTCAACAGTTCTGTTAAGCAACAGCATTTACATCCAGAGCCACGGGGAAGAAAATGTCCTTGAATTGCTCATATTAAAACCTTCCCACTATAATGGTCCAGACAGTGCAGCACATGCCTACATAGCATCGTGCAACCAGGGCATGACATGTGAAAACAAGTCAAATTTTAAGGAAACGGCTCATGTACCAACATGTTCTTGGTAGAAGCACAGGTTAACACACAGGAAGTTTTGAAACTAATGCTTTGTAACTTAGCCCCATCATTCTGTAGAAAATGTTTCATTGCCGAGGAAGAGGAGTGTAGTAAACAGCACTCGAAATTAAGGATGTCCTGTTGTCTTGGGGACAATAAAAGTAGCTCCCTGGGAACAAAGATACAGTGTCTGGGACAATTCTGAGACAGTTGAGATTAGAAATATATCATTACAAATGAAATTACTACATTTATGCATTTTGGTATGTATATGATTTTAATTAAGAGGTAGCATTGGCACAAGCTCTGGGCTGCGTCACACGTATATAATATATTATAATGTAATTCATTCCCATGTATGCTGCTCAGAGTTCAAGGCTCTTCTGCCAATAGTGCCGGGGTCTCTCCCTCCCCTCTTGCTGTGTTCTTATATTTTATAAATATTTACATATTTTGTTTGACTTTATCCCTCACACTTTGCCTCCGGGTCTTTGTAAATACATATTTACAAACTAAATACATATTTACAAACTATAGGAGAACTCTAATCCAGACCTTCTTTCTCACTTGGGATGTATTGCCATTGCAAGTTGCCACGGTCCCCAGAGGAGGACTCCTAATAACTTTTGCCGATCCCTTGACTTTTCATCTAGCGCCATCAGCAGGTCAGAATTTGTCCAGTACTTTGGTGTACTCCCAAACACCTGAGCCTCGGCTGTACTGTGTGCAGTGCAAATTAGCAAACGTTAGCATGCCAAGACGCTGATGATGAACATGGTAAAAATGACACCTGCTATACATCAGCATGTTAGCACAGATTGCTGATCCCCACTTTCAGCTCTGTCTCTGTCTCACGCTGCCCCTTCACCCAAATTACTGAAAATATCTTCTCACTTATTTAGTGGCACCTATCCACCTGTCCATAGTTTTGAATCTATCTGTCCAGGTTTTTGAGATATTCGGCCCTAGAATGTCTGCCTCCACCTTTAATACTAATAATGTGTGGTGCTCACAGCATTAGACGCGCAGTTTCTCCCTTGAAGGGTCTCTCACATCAAAACGCTAAGAAACTATATAGTTTGATGACATCATGAAGTATCATCAGGATATCAAAACAATGTCACATGACTTATTTCCCTTGCTGTTAAACAACCACAGATGAAAATCTACCAGTCGTCGCTCAGGCAGAAATCATTTTCAGGGACAAAGTAATGTATTGAAGTTTTATTCATGCTTAGTCACTTCCTTCCTCCTCCACTGTCGCATCTCGTGTTTTCCAGGTAATTAAAGGCAGTATCTGCGGTTGCACAGTATTAAAGGACACGCCTACTACGTGATATGCCCTTGAAACTGTCGCAGTTTTTAAAAATTGTTGGAAACGTGTCGGATAAAGTACACAATTCAACAAAAAAATAATCCACAGAATTATAGGACCTGGGTCTAGAGTTCAGTGGCATCTAGTGGTGAAGTTGCAGATTGCGAGTAACTGAACACCACTCGCATCTATATACCTTGGAATGAGAACGGGCTGTCAAAGGTGTAGAACAATACGGTGGTTGCAAAACTTGCAAAAATCGTGAAAGGCCCTATATACTGCCAGTGTTTGGTTTGTCCACCCTGGTCTAATGGTAGACTACATGGAAGGCAACCTGCTCCATCTGTACATAAAATGTCTTATTGTAAGGTAATTATAACATGAACATGATTCCTATTTTCAAGTGATTATACACTAGGTGGAGGAATTTGGAAAGAATGCAAAAAACTGGCGATAACAATTTTTTCTAAGAAAAATATAAAACCTTGGCTAAAAAAAAAACAACAAAATGGTAAAAGGTGTGGGCCCAATTGCCAAAAAAAACTACTTTTTTTTTTTTAAAAGGGAACATGGAAATGAACAAAACAGTTATGGTGGGTTTTCCCCAGGGTAACATTTAGGAAAATTTCCTAAATGGGCAGAAATGGGATTTAATATAAATTTTTTAAAGGGCTAATGGTTTTTT